TTTTTTTACACAGCACCCCTGCTCTCGACAGACACGGCACTCCGATTGGGAAACACTGCTCTAAATAATGCGGCGAGTGGGGCTCGAGGAAGTGACGTCGCCTGCGCCTGCGCAGTGTGACCTGATGCAGCCCCTGAAGCGAGACACAGGAAACAGAAATACTGCAAAATAATAATAATAATAATGCGACTAAATGAGACGAAATAACGTTATAACATTTCGTTTCGTCTTGTTTTGGTCAACGAAAATGAAGAGACATTTTAGCATAGTTTTTATTTAGTAAACCACATTTTATTTAGTCTCGTTTTTTATTCGTCAATGATATTGCATTATACATTTAATTATAGTCATCGTCACATGACCAGCATTTTCGTCTCGTCTCGTTTTCCTCACGTAATAAAGGTTCGTTGACGACGATATTTAGTCATAATTTTCGTTGACGAAAGCAACACTAAAGGCAACACATGTCAAGTTTGGCAACATGACCAAAAGTATATACTTTGGTACTGGTACTGTGGTTATTTATTTATTGAAAAAAATATTTAAAAAATTTAAAAATTTTAGAAATCGCCTTTGTGCACAGCCAGCCTTGTACTCTTCTAGGTTAAAAAAAACTGTCGTCCATAAAATGCGTTGCACAAATTCGAGCATCTGGGTTGTGCTGTTCTGTTGTAAATAAATCTTAACCAATGATTCCTAATTGCATCTACTTCCGGAAGGCCAAATATAGTGCTTTTGCTTTCGCACTGAAACACAGCGTCTCCCTGACATGCTGCATCAACGCGACTGCTGTAACTGAACCCACGCCTTCTTTCTTTGCGTGCACATTTGGGCGGCATTATGCTAATATTTCCACATAGTGACGTAGATATGTGGGGGCGTGTTAGAACGAGCCGTTTTAGCCAGGCGTGGCTGACTCTTAACTTTTATAAAGAATATCTCTTTGGATTTGAGATTTTAGTCTTTGCAACTTTACAGATCTTCTTTATGCACCAAGAGCTTGTAACACTCCAAAGAGAAAGGAAAACTTGAAATCGCATCATATGATCCCTTTAATTATATTAATCTCAATAAATTTTACATTATCGTGTATAAGCAGACCGCAGGGGCAGTGCTTTACATTTTCTGCCTTATTTTTGTGACTGAAACCAAAGTTTTCTTTTCTAAGAAAAGCAAGGCCATAAAATAACAGTAACATTTGCTATGTAATATTTATTATTAATTTTGTATTATTATTGATTACAATATTGAATCTCATATATTATATTTTTTAAACAGTAAATGTATGAATTTGTTAAAATTAAATTTTTGATTTATTTTTACATTAACTCATGTATTTATTTATAATAAAACACAAGAGTTTGAAAAAAGAGGCATAGGGAACAATAAATGTGAAGCAAGATTGTGCAAGAAAAGGGGAAGAGGGAATCCCTCGACGAGACTGTGAGAACAGCATGAAGGTGCCCTACCTCGCACTGCAGGACAAACTGTTTCCCTCCTTTGATCCTCAGCAGGATGCACTTTTTGTCCTTGATCTGCGTCTCCTCCACAGTCACGATCTGCTCCATGGTCAGCAGGTTTTGCTGGGGGGAGGAAAGACTAATTAGTGCGTTCCTGTAAGAGTCTTCTCACAGATTATCCTACTGTGTTCAAGAGGAACACTCCATGCTACCTGCTAGCTCTGTATGGCTGGGATTTTACCCTATGCTTGAGGTATACGCATCTATCGGCGTCACTTACACTGTGGTAGAAATTCTAGAGGTTGTCTGGGGCTACGAGGGAGCAAAGACACAGATGACAAGCTGTTCTTGTACTCAATGAGTCAGTGGTGGTACAGCGGGCCGCAGACTCATGTAACCGTCTGATCGCGGATACCTGATTCCCATCAGACTGGAGGATAATGGAAGTCATTTCACTTCTGTACAAATGTTTTCCCTCTAAATGACACGTACCACATTCAGTCTGGTTTCTAAAGACCTTGATTTAAAGTGCGCTTCTGTGTGAAGACTTAGACATCCAGTGTTTTTTCCTAAGAAGCATTTTGTTCACTGTTCAGCTGCAAGAACATGAAACGATTTTCAAATAACACTGTATAACAACATAAAGCTAGGGATGCACAGATCAATTTTATGAAATGACAAGCAAATTAATTGTGTTTATATCTATGTTTTATATATATATATATATATATA